CGACCCTATTATTCATGAATCTATATGCATGAAATGCAATGACATATTTACGTGAATGGTGAGATGTATTCTTATGACTAGTGCAACATACTTGTATGAAATACACGTACCTACTGTATGTATGAGATATGTATGTATGAAATGCAATGCATGTATTGTGCTGGCTTAATAAGGTAAACACTACCTTAAGATATATAACGAGATAGAATGCATGCACTACTTATCAAGAAGTGCATGGGATGCATGTGCAAAAAGTAAAATGTGTGTGCTACCTATTGATATGGATGGGATGGAATGCACGTATTATCCTATTATAATGCGCATGGGATGAGATACATGTATGACGTATGAAATGTGAAAGATGAAATAAAATATGAAATTTTTTGTTTTGAGAAGGAAAAAAGAAAGAAATAAGGCTTGAAAATTAGTCTTTATTCGGCCAATAAACAAAGGATTTAAGAAAAATCTTTAATCTTTGAAAATGTTCTTTTGCCTTTTTTTTTCAATGATCGACCTAAAATAAATACCACATATTCAAATATAATGCACACAATCAAAGAATATATAAAATAAAAAAACAAAAGGACTCGAGAATTCAAAACAAACAAGTAAGAGAAATAATATAACAACCATACAACAAAATAATATAACGTATAAGTCCTAATTTTTGGTAAATTTCTAAAAAGGTGGCATGGCTCTATCCTAGGCAGGCTTCTTATGGCTCACGATATGCTGGGTTAGGATTTATATATCTAAAGGTTCCCAGACTATTCTTCACATCATCGCCTATTATAGACTAGTAAGGTTCCCCGATCCTCGCCCATTATAGGTTATTAATGGAAAGGGTTTAATCTGAGTGAAAGTATTTTGCTAGCAAATGCGGAGGTTATCACCTCACAAGAGCGTAGCTACTTCACTTTCTCCTAAAAAAGATGGAGCCCGGGTATAGAGCTCATGCATGTGAGTGAATATGCAAAGTGTGTGCAAAGTAATGTATTAATCAAAATAACATGAATAAATCATAACCAAAAACAAAATCAAAATAAAGTAATAACTAACACAATTTATTTTATTTATTAACATAAATGTTTTCAAAAAATAAAATAAAAGAAATTAAATTAAATATCAAATAAAATCGATTAAATTCAACCATTGTCAGTAGCGCATAATTAAAATTTTGGCCTGACTCTCAAACTCGTCCCCAGCGGAGTTGCCAAGCTGTCGTAACGGTTTTGGGACGGTCAGACGTAAAAATGAGTTTTAAAATCAAGAAAAATAAAAGAGAGAGTCACCACCAATCTTTGTTAGAATGTGATTGGCTACCCAAAAGTTTATATTTTTAATAAAACTATAAAAACGGATTTAAAGTTTATCAAAAAGATAAATTTCGATTTACAAAAAATTAGGTTGGGTCCGGGAGTCGGTTACGCGTGGGGAAGGATTAGCACCCCCACAACGCCCATAAATTGGTACCATTTAATTACACGCTATTTTCGATGTTGGATAAAAATGATTTTAATTTAAAATTTAACATTAATTCCCTTCATTTGAAAAAGTAAAATTTTGCTAAAAATTTTTATTTAGAACTATTGAGAAAATCTTTAAGTTAAGAAATTATTTTAAAATTCTTCAACATCTAGGCAGAACTTAAAATAACTCTTTTTGCTTAAGATTTAACACAATAATCCTTAAAATGAAATAATAATCTTTATAGAAAATAATTGTTAGTGACTCTCCAACATTTAAGCAAAGTAGTAAAAATTATTTCTTTCGAAATGTTATTTTTATTTTATTTTGTAATATCATAATTTTTTTTAAAGTCTGATTCTTTTTTATTATAAAATATTTTATCACCAAGTAGTAAATAAAAATTAAAAACAGAATAGTGCAAATAATTACTGATAATAACATGCTAACGTATGTATGCCAATGAATGTTATATAGGATGGAATGCAATTTAAAGTTGGATTCTTAAGTGACCACCCCGACTCTTCAACATCTAGGTAGAGCTTACGTGTGACTGTTTATATTTAAGATCCCGATTTACTGTTATACTTTTTATTTATTAATCCTATTATTAATGCGAATTAAGAACTCATGTGAAAAGACTTAACGAAGTAAAATTTCTTAAATACCCCATCATCTAGGAGGCATTCGGGAACAAATTTCTTCAAATGAAATTTTCACACGTGTCCTTAGGATTTTTAGGAGGTTTTGAGTAAGGGCTTGAATAGATGTTCTGAAGGTTTGGTTTTAAGGTTTAAAGGGTTTTAAAGCTTGAATTTTAGGATATGAAAGGTTTAGGGTTTTGATTTTAAAGTTTGGAGATTTTAGGGTTTGGATTTTGAGGTTTGGGGTTTTGATTTAAGGGTTTGGATTTTAGGGATTTTGGATTTTGGGGTTTGGATTTAAGAGTTTAAAGGTTTGGAATTTCGGATTTTGGGGGGTTTTGGATTTTAGGGGTTTCAGATTTTAGGTGGTTTGGATTTAAGGGATTTTGGATTTTAGGAGATTTTGGATTTTAAGGGTTTTAGAAACCTAGGATTTTGAAAATTAAGAATTAGTGTTTAAGGTTTCATTTTTTTAAGAAAATATGAACATCTCTAAAAATCTCCAACATCTAGGCGGATTTTCGAAGGAGGTTCGATTTTAATAATTTTTGAAAATTATTTAAATTTATTTTTGATGAAAATTTATTAATAATAATTCTCCCAACATCTAGGCGAAATTATTTTTTAGAAAAATATTTTTTATTCCCTTCAACATCTAGGCAGAAAAAATAATAACAATAATAATAAATATTTTTTTTGAACATTTTTAATATACATTTTTAATCGTTTTTATTTTTATTATTATTAAAATAATAAGACATTTATTCAAACAAATTTAAAAATTTATCATGCATAAATATAAAAACTTAAAATAACAAAATAATAGTATATAAAAAAAAAATTTTTAAAATTTTTTTTACCTGAATCGGATCGGTCAACGCTCGTCTGAGCCTGTTTGATAGGTTCGACGGTTCGGACAATTCGACGGTTCAGACCGGTTTAGATCGTTTCACTGACGGTTCTTCTGGATCGATTCAAGGTTGGCTGAAGCGGGTTGACGGGTCGATTTGTGCAGATCTTGGGTCGGATCCTAGTCCACGCGCAGATACTCCTTGATTAAAACGGCGTCGTTTTGGGTCTTTTCCTAAACGATATCGTTTTGAATTTAGCTTTCCTATATATAACTCAAGATTTTTTTTTTGGTTCATTATTTTCTGTTTCAGAAAAAAAAGGGAGAGAGAGAGAGCTTTAGAAGAGAGCTTCGGGCTCTCGCCGACCTGTCGTCAGACCACCGCGTCGGTCGCCGCCTGGGTCGCGGCTAGCGATAGTTGTCGGTGGTCGTCGGTTGTCGAAAAATTATCAAAATTCACCGCGATGCTCCTCTCGGCCTCTTGAGTTCAGATCCGAGATCTTTTTCGGGAGAACAAGCCCCGATGGGTGTAGATCAGGGTTTGAACTTTTTTGAGTTTGCTATTTTCCTTTTTTTTCTTCTTTTTTTTTTGTAAAACAAAGGCTGATCTGATGTTTTTTGTTCTTGCAGGGAGCTCGACGCTGAGGTTCCTCCCTACGGGGAGGACTGTTTGTCTTTATTTTTTTGTTTCTGTTTTTGCGTTTTTGTTTTCGTGGGTATTTTGAGGGTGTTTAGGGTTGTTTAAGGAAGAGGCTTGGAGGTTTCGAGGGTCTGTTCGAAGGCTTTTCGAGAGGGGATGTCCGTGAGAGCTTTTAGAAAGGGGGGTTTAAGAGTTTTTTTTTTTAGAAGGGATCCGAGAGTTTTTGAATGGGTTCAAAAGGGGATCTAGGTGGCTGTAGGTGGCTGTAGGCTAGTGAGCATGGATAGACAGGGGGCTGGTCAGAGGGCTGTAAGGTGGCTGGTTGGGGGCGGTAGCAGTGCCAACCACCTTACTTTCTGTTTTTCTGTTTTTTTGTTTTTTATATAATTAATAATTATTTTATTTTTTAAAATTATTATTATTATTATTAAAATTATTGATATTATACTGAAATAAAAACAGTAAATCTAAACAAAATCAGTGTCTATAATATTGTATAAGAAACACTATCAAAATTATCATATCATACCATATGCCTACAATAAATATTGATACTTTTTGTCTAACAATGATATGTATTAATTTATGGTACCATATGAACTCTGTAGGAGAATACCAACTCATATATTAAGTATTTTTGTTAGTCATTCACTTAGTTTAGTTATTTAAAAATTTTCATATATATTAAGTACTTTTGCAAAAAATCTTGATATAACATGCATACATATGGTTAAAAGTGATTTAAAAGTTAGGCATCCTCTACAGAGCACTAAATGAGATTAATTTAATGAGTTAAACTAAACTTAATTATATCTTTTCTTGTTTATACATGTATAACTAAAAATTTATTCCCCAAATCATTTTAGTTGTAATTAATTTATTTTATTTCACTATTTTCATTACAAATCCAAATAAATAAATAAATAATTTAATCGATTATTTTTAATTTAATAAATTGATAATGATATTTAAATTAATCATTTTAATACTTTTGAAGTGCACAATTTTACATAAAACAAAATTTTGGAATTCATATTTTATAAACAGAAGAAAATATATACTCCGAATTTTGTTTTTTTCAAATAGTTGAAGAGACCATTTAATGAATTGGAGAAAAGTCAGATCCGTCAATCAAGTTATGTGTTGACAGTGTAAGGAAGAACAGCTAAGTGATGCTTAGCAATTCCATGTTGAAATTAGGTTGGATAAGTTAGCTTAACGTATACGTAGCTGTAATGACTTTCCCTTTTAATCTAGTGGTTAAAAAATAGATTGAAAATCATGTAGAAGTGAATTCGATCCCTTCATCCTCCTCTTTATGGGTATTAACTCTCTTTTGCAACCAAAAAAACAAAAAGTATACGTAGCTGTAATAGTCACGAGTCTTTTAATCCTCGTACAAACTAGATGATGACTTAGGAGTTGGCTGGATACAAACAAGGATGAGAGGAGGCTCAATTTTCAAAATGACCAATTGCGTATTTCCCACTGCCAATGTGAATTTGTGCAAATATTGTTGGCTTTGAAGGAAATCCATGAAGGAATTTCACATGACCACGCTATTATTTTGATATGAGAAACCACAACCAAGTTTTGCTCTGCCTATCTCCAAGTTAATTTAATCAGTCAATTGTAAAGCAATTAATCAGTCAATTGTAAAGCAATGTCGAAGCTTTACTTGCTCTTTGCCCTTTCCCTCGCCATGCTTATTTCAGGTAATAAACAGTTCTTGTTCTTTTTCTCTAGTCCCTTCTCACCATTTTATTGACAAGATTTTCATGCTTATCAAATGTACGGAATAGTTAAGGAATTGGTTTTAAAATTCTATTTCCAAAATTTTTTATTAACCTTTTGGCTCATGTATTTTTAAAATTTTGTTCTTCGATCTCAACAATATTGCATGTATTATATATATGCAGGGGCTCACATGGCAACCCTCAATATCAGAAACAACTGTCCATTTACTATCTGGCCAGCAACCCTTACTGGTGGTGGTGGACCTCAATTGCCAAACACTGGATTCGAGTTAGCCCCCCAAGGATCAAATTCCATTAACGTTCCAGCTCCATGGGTAGGCAGGCTTTGGGCTCGAACGCAATGCTCAAGCTCATCCGGAAGATTCACTTGCGCCACTGCAGACTGTGGCTCTGGCGAGGTCGGTTGCAATGGTGCAGGTGCAGCCCCTCCAGCAACCCTTGCAGAGTTCACTCTAGCAGCAAATGGAGGACAAGATTTCTATGATGTCAGTCTTGTAGATGGCTTTAACTTGCCAGTTTCAATAACCCTACAAGGCGGTTCTGGTTCAACCTGCACCACAACTAGCTGTGCGGCAAATGTGAATTCAGTTTGCCCATCAGAGCTAGCTGTTAGAGGATCTGATGGGAATATCATAGCCTGCAAAAGCGCATGTGTAGCTTTCAATCAGCCTCAGTACTGTTGCACTGATGCATATAATTCAGCCCAAATATGTCAACCAACAGACTACTCCAGGATCTTCAAGAATCAGTGCCCTCAGGCTTATAGTTATGCTTATGATGATCCAGCTAGCATTTTCTCCTGCACTGGTGGACCTAATTACCTCATCACTTTCTGTCCATGAGATGAGACCTTACAAGCAGGAAGCGGCTCTATTGCTTTGCATATTTATGATTCTAGAATAAAAAAAACCATTGCTAATGGTTATTATCAAATAAACAGACATAAAAACCTTCTTGGTTTTAATTTTATATCAATATCATGGAACGATAAATAAATTTAACATTGCCAATAGTATTTATTTGTAGCCTGTTACAAGCTTACAATTATATCTAATAAATCATATTCTCCCAAGTAAGATCCAATCTTTTTTGGTTTGAAATTGTATTTGTATTTGCAATGACGGATCTTAACTTTTGATTTAGAGAGGGTCATTTAATATTATATTGAATTTTTTTTCTTCATATGTAAACTACTATATATATTATCAATATAAATATATATACAAGAAAAATATTAAAAATAACTTACAAAAATTATAAATTTTATCAATTCATAAACAAATGTACAAAGAAACATAATACATCAAACAAACCATTTTACTTAAAATTGTGAATGATTTAATAAAACACAAATAAACCAATTGCTAAATAACATATTTTTTTATCAAAACAAGAAAAATAAAATATACATTTAGAAGAATAAAATTAAAACTTTGAGATTAAAAATTAAAAATTTTTAACCTTTTAAAAGTTAGTCAAATTTAACTTTTTTGTTGAAAACAAATTGCATTATAATGGGAGAAAAAATTTAAAATAAAGTTAAAAGTAAAATTAGATGGAGAAAAGTTGTGGTCGATTAAAAAGAGAGAAAACGTGTTTGATACTTGATTCTAGATTTGAAGTCTTACGAAGAAACTAAAAAATCAATTTGACTTTTATTAAATGCACATGATTATAATTGTAGATGATATATACTTCCTAATTCTTATAACAAATCTCTTGATTTTAAGGGTCTATAAGTAATAATTGATTGGTATGACAAATAAACAAATAATAATATGATTTTAATCTCTTAAACTATAATGCATAAGATAGGTATGCACCCATGATCATAAATATTGAGGCAAGGCTAAGGTAACAAAATTTTTGGTGTAACTCCTAGCAGATCAATGGACTTTAGCTGCCCAAAAAACATCTTTATAATACCTTTTTATCGGTCTTCCACAAATATGTCATTCAGATTTCAGAGTATTATTAACCGATTTAATTAAGTCAACTGAATATAATGCATTCACATTGAAAATAGAGCTTGTAGATTATTTGATTTCTTTTGCAAATTTCATTGTTCGTAAAATTTTGAAGAGGCCAAAGGCCTCTTTTGACTTGTATAACCATCCACCTCGATCTCATGTTACTTGAAGTTTTTTAAATTTTGGGGGGACTGAAGCCTCCCTCTAGCTTATATAATCATCCGCCCTTGTGTATTGGTAATAGTCAGAGAATTAGAAAAGCCCCTCTAGCTTATATAACCATCCACCCTTGTGTATCGGTAATAGTCAGAGAATTAGAAAGGTAACTATAAATACTATGTGAATAGCATTTTAAGCAATAGTTACTTGTGATTTTAATTTGTTATTTTCAAAATTAAAAAATATATATGATTTTAATTTAAAAAATGAAAGAAACTAAAGAAATAAAGAATTACAACTAATCCTTTCAGAAAAAGAGGAAGAATGTTTACAAAGTACAAATAAAGAAAATTACTACCATATTGAGATTCCATATGTTGGACGTTTTTCATTTTTTTTTTTCTCAAAAGAGCAAAATCTAAGTGCAACAAAGCAATAAAATTTTTAAAAGATTATACATAAAATATGTATTTTTTATTATTATTAAATGATAAAATATCGTAAATCTACTCCTATAACGTTTTCATCACTTGTTTAACATTTTCATTACTTATATTAATTATTAGAAATACGAGCACCCACACTTGGAAAAAGAAAAAAAAAAGATGTGAGAAAAATTGTTTTGAAAGAGAAGAAATGGATGATTAAGACTTGGAAATTTTAAGAATTTTGCAAATTAATAACGAGGGATAGGCGTTAGATAAGCTGTGCATTGTCAGTTTTTTTTTTTTTTCTTCTTATTCCTTGTATTGTCTAATCCAAATTAGTAATGAAAAAGTAGCATGGGTAAAGTAGAGGTCTAAAAAGATTTATTTGATTTTGTTTTTTGTCCATTGACATGAGAAAATGTCAAAGCATGGGATAGAAAGTGTGTTTATGTCATGCATACCTCACATAATACATGTCCATGCTTACTTATTTCTTGCTTAATTAAAGTTGGAATCTTATATATACATTATAATCTCTTTGGTGTTTAAATTTTTATGTTCAATTTAATTTCATGCATTAAACTGCTACTATTATTATTTTTTATGCAATTTATCTTTTATTTGCATTTTAGCTTCACATCAAATAATAATAATAATAATCTTTTTAAGGAAGTCCGAGTAGTGATTTCTTAAAATATCTATGTGAGAATATTTTTCTAAAAGAATATTACCAAAAGTAATTCAATATTTTAAAAAATATTCAATATAAATATTTTCATTCATTTCTTAAAATTATATTAGATATTGATAAAATAATATATAATTACTTTTTTAGTAATAAAATTAATATAATAATATGTGAATATAGTGATTAATTAATCTTATCTTTCAAAATTTTAATTCATTAAAAATAATAATAGAAATTAAAAATTAAGATTAGAATGAAGAATCAAATAAGAAAAGAAAATAAATAAGATCTCTAAGAATGAAATTTTAAGGAAGTCTGAATAGAAGTTTCTAAGAAATCCTTAGGTGAGAAAATTCTTCTTAAAATACTATCAAAGTATCAAAGTATTTAAAAAAATTTTAATAAAAAGATTTTATTTACTTTGTTTCTTTTTAAAAATTACTAATAATTGAGAAATAATTAAAGAGATTAAAACAAAATTAAAATGAGTAACGAAAAAATGTAACATAAAAAATAATAAGTAATATATATTTTTTCATGTGCATATTCTACTTTATTGTTTTGTATTACATAATCTTAAATGTAAATGAAATTTTCGATGATGAGATTCTGAGAAGTTCAAATAGTGAGTTTCAAAAAATTTTTAGGTGAAAAAAGTATTCTAAAAATTACTAAAGTTTTAGAATATTTAGAAGTTTTTTTTCAATATGAAAATTTTCAATTTTATCATTATTTTCTTGAATTTGAATAGTCTTTTTATAAAAAAAAATATGCATTTTTTTATAAATTTATTTTGAATAATAATATTATTATATGATTTTTAAATATTAAAGCAAACAAAAAATCTCCAAAGATGAGATCTAAAAGAAATTTGAGTAGTGATTTTTTAGTAATCTTTAGGTAAAAAATTTTATCTAAAATAATGTCAATGTGTTGGAGCATTTAGATTAATTTTTGATAAAAATTTTTTATTTTTTCAAATAAATGGGATAGAAATAAATTTTTAGAAAATATTATTTGATTTTAAATTATAGATATTGTACTTTATATTTTTTAAATATAAATATCAAAATAAATATGAACCGTCGATGATAGGATTTTTTAGAATTTCGAGTACCAATTCTTAAATATTCCTCAAGTGAAATGATTCCTGCTAATATTGTCAGAGTATTAAAATATTTTTAGAAATTTTTTAATATATAAAGTGCTTATTTATTTTTCAAACATAGTAAAAATGTATATATATGTTTTTAAATAAAATTAAGGAAATTAAATTTTAAATACCAAAATTAAGATCTTTTTGTCGAAATTGAAAGATAACACATAATTAATTAGTAACATTTTTTAACAAATATTGTGGGAGTGCTAATCTTTTATTATGTGTAACCAACTCACAAATCCAAACTATTTTTGAAAACACAAAAATTTATCTTTTTAATAAATTTTAATAAATTTTAAAATTTTATTAAAATGATAAATTTTAATAGGTAATTAATCACACCTAACAAAAAAAATTGATGATGAACAGACGGACAAATTAAGCAAAATGGGTTCAAAAGCATCATTAAGTGATGACTCAAGAATCTACAAAAGATTAAAAGTTCAAATAATAATAATAATAATAATAATATAGAGTACAAGAGGCAAATAGAAAGATTTTATATGTAAAGCTAAAATATTAAAAAAGACATTGAATTATTTAATTTTATTTAAATAAGCTCTTATATTTTTATTGTATCTAAATAAATCCTCATTTTTTCATTTGTATCATATAAACCCTTATTTTAAATAAAAATTGATTTATATTAAAGGGCTTATTTAGGAACAAATTAAAATATAAGAGCTTATTTGAATACAATTATACAAATTAAAGGTCAACAACTTATTTGGAAGCAAATTAAAAATTACTAAATGAATACAATAAAAGTATAAATACTTATTTAAATAAAGTGATAAAGTTTAACGATTTTTTTATTATTTTAGCGGATATGTAATTATCAGGGCAAAACATGCACATAAAAGTGGGGCTGCTCACACAATATAAAAAGAGAGAATGGAAAATTTACCATCAATAAGCATGAAACTGCAGTTAGTTGCACTGATTCATCCAAGTCATCAAGCAATGCTAATATTACACCCAGAACTTGAGTTGTATACTGATAGATATGAACATATGGTATCTGCCATAGACACAAAAGTCACATTTTCAAATAGATATGAACAGATGGTATCTGCCATAGACAAAACAGTCATACTTTCAAAGGGTATAAATAAAGTGAAAAAATAAAACCTTACAAAATATTAAACTTTAGACGGAAATTATGAGAGAAGTGGGTGTGTGTGACTGCAATTGATGACTAAAAATGGCACATTTAAAATCTGCATGAAAATCCCTGTCGTATACCTTCACTAATCCTTTTAGACAAAGGCATCTAACTGTTGGAGATTCATCTGAGACATGTCGACACAACACTTCCACCATCTCCTCCAATAGGGAGCTAAACCCGCAACTGCATAATTGAAATTAGCACATAGCAATTCTTATCAAGAAAACTTAATGATAATAATGATGCTTTGAGATGATTAAGACAACAATA